CAGGATATAATTTATGGAATATTCACTTGATGAATAAATGACGTGTACGACCAGATTTCAATTTTGAAAAGTCGATTTCGAGAAGAGTTTTAAAATTAAATAAAATTAATATCCAATCTTTCTTTTATGTTCAACAACTTTCCCTATAAAACCAGTTCATGATTAAACATAATGTAAGGAAATATTTATTATCAGAAGGGGTGCGGGGTGCGGGATCGTGGATGCGCACTGCTGAGGAGTCCCATACTAGGACGAAACGGCCGTCCAGTGCTTTCAGGTTTTCAATGGTGGTCTAGCTTCAATTGACTCATGATTTCAATCTGTGAAATATTTATTCCCAATAACAACTTTATTTCAGTTATGAACGAATAGTTTCAAGATATTACGGTATCGAGTGTCTGAATGGCATTAATAATGAAAATCATAATTGTAAACATATAAGCGATCAAAATGGAATAACTTAAATGTTCCGCTTTTAGCCTTATCCTAGCATAAACAAGGTCAGAAAACAACTATGTGCACAACAACTGTCTGATCAAGTCATATTGAATATGGTTTAATGCGTTTACATTGTAAAATATGAAGAGGTGTATGTATGTGTGTGTTATTCTTATTTAAAAACTGATGACCGAATTTGGCATCATAGTTATCCAACTACTTTTTTTAAAGAAAACGTGTGATTTTATCAGAGAAACATTTAAATTCTTTTTTTTCAATTTAGGTCTCAACCGTTACCATGTTTATGCTTTTAATTCAATGCCTTGAGTAGAATCAACCACTAGCAGATTCACATGAGTCTGTAATGGTTTTATTTAGTGATTAATGACTGTTTGGAAGAAACCTTAAGCCCCCTTTGAGTAGGAGGTTCCGGAGATAGATGACAACATGTTCTTCTTCTATGTTGGATAAACAGCTGTACACTGTTTTTCTTATATGATTTCAAATATTTCACTATACAGCGATGATAGATTTCAACATCACTAACGAATCCCTACTCTCTTAAAATAACATCGATAAAGATGACAACAGAAATGTTATAAATAGTGTCGTATTCTCTAAGCTGAATAGTCTGATTTCATGGCTTTGATTGTTCGGGGAATCATTAGGTCTTACTTAAAGTAGCAGTTAGCATTTTCATTACTCCACAAGTATTATGTCAATCCGTCATGATTAGTTTGTTCCCGACTAGTTGCTTTCATGAGTTCGACCATCCTTATGTGCCATTTACTACCTATTGGTTGTTTCTATTCACTTAAAGTCTGACCTTTATATTCGATGACGATTACCACATGAGTTGGTAAATTGCATCTCTATTTGTGTGACTACTGGCTGGTGATTAACCTATATCACATATTTCTACAAAATTATATGGGATTCTCGGAATGTCCTGATGTCTTTTGTTGTCCACGCTCAATGGTTTAAATGTTAGTATATCGTGTCTTTCCAGTAATAGTCTGTGTTTACTTATGATTTATATACAAATAACTCCACAGCTATTGAAGTCAACTAAAAGACAAATCCAAATAAAATAGGTTGGCTTCTTGTTGCCACCGAAAAGTTACAATTAACAGGCTATGGTGTTTATACATAAAACAATGGATTTATTTGATAAGAAACGACCTTCACTATTGAGACAACTACACATATAAGAAAACTATGGCACAGTAAAACATCAACAACTACAGTGACATCATGAAACAGGTACATGAAAGGTACAAAGAACAATATACACTATTTTCAGTGGCATACTAACATGGCAAACATAAACCATAACCAGCCTTTACACCAGGAATCTCACTGATCAATATGATGTTTGGAGATTTTCGAACCTGTACGACGAAGTCTTGTTAGAGTAAATCTGGCTTCAGACAATATCCATTACCATATTAGCCACGACGACTGATATTTTGGTGTATCTACAAAGTTTGATTAATTTTTGAAGATGTAACGGAAAACAGATATCGGATTCTTTTTAAATCTAGCAGATTTTGATGAAGTTTCGTTCTCTGAGTTGGATGTTTTGGTCGTGGAGTTTTCATCGTTCTTCTGAACGAAATCATCAGCACAAACGTCTACCAGCTCAGAGAACAAAACATCAAAATCATCCACTTTAGCTACAAATCTCCACCACATCTAGCAGTCTTTCATTTCATAATTCGAAGAATAAGAATCAAACCTCAGAACTAACCATCATCTGGTCATCTTTATTAAAGTAATCCTATTTAAAATTCACTGCAATTTTACATTTCACATACAACCTCCTGAATTGCGTACGTTATGTACACAAATGATTAGTTCGCATCCAACATGTAGCAAATTATCATTTATTATGATAAATTACATTTTATTAATTAGGTCAATTTACATCCATCACGAATATAAATTTGTACTTTAATTTCAGAAAACTTAAGTTCTATCAAATTTCTAGTAAGTTTTATCTGCGTTCGTTGATTTTGACAATCAATCTGAACATGAAGAGTGGAATAAAATGTTTCCCCAATTTGAAGGTTGATTCGCTAAATGGGAGATAATTTAGTGAAATAAATAAAACATTGGCTATGATATTTTAGATAATAAAAGTGCAACAGGATAACTGAAATTTTACACATGCACAATTCAATGTTAATCAGAAAAATGTGAAAAAATACAACAATCAACATTGAAGAAGAAGAAGAAGAAGTGTTTGTGTGACAGTTATTTTATTCAAATAATACTGAATGAAATACATGTATATTTGTGTATACATAGAGAGGTAGAGGGTGAGTGAGTGAGTGAGTTAAATTCTATTGAAGCATATGCAAGAGGCTGTAGAGATATATAACACATGACTGTGTAAAACATTTTCTTAAAATAGTAGTCAAATTAACTTTAGATATACTCCTTATAGGATTCAGAATGTATAAGAGTTCTGAATTCGTTAAATTTGTCACTTAAATAGGCTACTTGAGACTAATCAATTGCAGTCTTATACATCAATGGGAACATCAAAATGCTAACCAATATATATGAATTGATATTAAGTGGTACTTGGTTTAGACATATCTTAAATAACTCTCAGTCTACTGTAACTCGCACACAAACCGAAATCTATACAACTAATTAAATCACACTTTTGAATACAAGGGAGGTGGCTTGTGTATTTGACGTGTAAATAGTGAGATGAAATTGCCAGTCCACTTCAGTCAATTCAGTGAAGGCACCAAAAGTGTTACAGATGAAGTATTGACAATTGCACAGTATCCATATCATATTCTAGTAGTTAAATCTCTATTTTGATGATGCATCAATGAACACCACAGATTGGAACAGTTTTCAAATGTAGGTGCCTATTAAGATCTTTCGGTAGTCCTACATTTTCAAAACATTCAGTGGTTGTAAGACCACATGACTTTGACAACATTGAGAATTTTCGTTTAAATTAGTGTGATGCTTAAGATCTCTACACATTAATTTACTTAAATATAAGCTCGTAAAACAACACTGTGAACATATACTGACTATATTTTCTCACAGTTGTACGCAATCGGTGTTTGACGCTTATCTCCAAATACAGCCGATTTCTTGACTCCTAGTATAAAATGTTCAGGTTGATAAATACAGGAGAAAATAGGAAGCCATCACTAGAAACTGAGTGAATTCTTTCAATATCTGCTACGAAGACTCTCCACTTTACGAACGTACAACTAGAGTCAGATTCGAATTAAAAATGTGCTAAGTAGAATTCAAAAATTAGTATCATGCACAAAATCGAATCCGTGTTCAGAAAAGTCACTGAGTATTGGATATTTTCACACGATTCAACGGAAATGTGACATCAAAACAATTACGGATCCAGTTTCCTTCTATGAGCTCATACTCGATCGTCTGTAAGACATTCAGGAGTCACATCAATTCCGATGAGTTTAATGATTTAACTCAAAATCAACTAGTTCACAGTCAGTGTTTGATAAAGTGCGACAGTCATTTTAACCCATTCATACGTCATTGTTTCAATTACGACGAAGTCGACTACACTATTTCTAGCTTAACACTACTACTTCAAGTGATTCACTTCAACACATATCAGTTATCAATCATGCATCATCTGACATCAATTCGCAACAAACCTATCTTGCAAAGTATTCGATAAACGTCAATAAAATTTTGGCTTATTTTACCAACTTAATTCAAATAAAAACAGATTACGTGATAGTTTGTTGATCTATTTGGAGGAGAGATATTTCTGTCGTTTCCAAATCCTACGTTGATTTGCTTCATCAGGAAATAAATAGCCAGTTCACAATAGTGGATAATAATGTAGCAATAACATGGATTCGAGATTTATCTACACATATGAAGAAGCCACAACTGTCAAATAAACTCACGTTTTTGTTTTTCACTATGTCGGTAATCAAAAACATAATAGTAAAATAGTCAATGACAAAATTCTCAATTAAGAATTGTAGTCAAATTTGAATGGAGGTAAATGTCTACATTTGCAGTTGTCGAATATAAAGGATTGAAACTGATTGTTGTTTATTGGCAACTGTACTTTTTAATTCGGTTACTTCAATTTCCCCTTACAGTTAAATTTTGTTACTTTTTTGTATCATGAATAATGATATAATCTATAATGTACGTCTGTTTCATTGACTGAGTATCATCAGCCTGATATATCTCTATTTAAGTCTTCATATCTGAATCAGTGGCTATAAAGATATTATAGATTAAGTGGTGTTTAATGCGCTAGTGGCTACGTTCCAGTCTTATTATGAACATCAATACTAAGATACAGTTAAATCTTTCTGACAAGTCTCGGAAAAGAGAAAATAAACGCTGATCCTTAATTCTGACTGTAATCATTATCCTAATTATGGTTATCTATTACTTTTTTCTAAATGTGCACATGCTTTTCCAACTAGAAGATTTACAATTCGCAGAAACTGTGTTACTAAAATTTCATAGGATGAAATGTAACATAAAAACTTAGTACTACAGAAATTAATTAACCAATGAAAATTGAGATTTTGTTTCAATGCGTGTTCATTGCAATTTACTGATTATTTCCTAATCATTTTGATTAATAATGATCAAGAAAATAAAACGTATGGAATAAAAATAATGATATACTGTAATATTATGATTTATCTAGAAGCTTTATTTATCATACTGTCATACTGAACTAATCTTATTTGATAATACCCTATAGTATGACATATAATTTGACATGTTTCAATGCTGAAACTGATTTCACTCATGAGGGTATTATGATGTATCGATTTCGAGCTTATGTAACACCATTAATTGTAATATTTGGAACGAGTGGAAATATTCTTGTGATTATTGTATTTATTATAATGCAAAAGAAATCACCATGTCGATTTAACTCTTATATCATTGGTATTACAGTTGCACATATTATGGAATTAATATTTAATGCATTTCTGGATGATTTTCTTGGTAGAGGATTAGCATGGTTGACAAAATGTAATATAATAATTAAACTAGATACTTATTCATTATTTTTGTGTAAATTTTTCTCATACATTCCAGAAACATCGGGATTAATTTCAACAAATGTTTTAGTATTATTTAGTTTTGATCGTATACTTACTGTGTTTCATCCAATTCGATTTCGTGGTGACCGTTATCTTTATGTAGCTTGTTTCGGTATCATAAGTATTTATATAATTGGAATGATATTATATTTACCAACAGCTATCAATTCTGGTCTTGTAACAAATCGGCATAATTATACACTTTGTCAATTTGTTGATCCATTAAAATTTAGTGTTCAGTATAATTTATATTTATCGAATATTGGTGCAACAATTATACCAACATTAGTAGCATTTGTAACCACTATTATTATAACTGTTAAACTACGCAGAATATTTAAAGAACGTTATGATATGTGTCAACATGTTGATCGTAATACAAATGAACTACGTCGTATAGCTGGACATTTAGCTATGACAACAATGTTTTTCATATTAAATATACCATTAATTATTGTTGTTATATTAAGACAACATTCAGATTACAGTAATTATAATACATTCTATCCAAAATATGCAAATAAATTAAAACATCTTTCAAAGTTATTCAGTTCTATTAAATCAGTGAATGCTGCTATGGAATTTCCTACATTTTTCACATTTCTACCATCATTCCGTCAACATTTATGTTGTTTATTATGTAAACAACAAAAATCAAGTTTAAAAGATATTTTCTCTTTACACAGTGTACAAGAAACATGGAAAACAGTTTTAAGACGAAATTATGTTAAATCAGATACTACTAATAATACTAATAAAAACCGATCCACCGATAAACCACATAATACAAGTTGAGAATTACATCTATAAATTATCGATTGCCTGAAAAAAACTATTCATTCATGACCAAAAGTATTTCTGGATATTAATAACAAAAAAAAAGACATAAGAAAGGTTTTTATTTGTTATTTCTATAAAACATTACTGTATTATTAAGATTATGCAAGACAAATTATCATAAGATTCTTTGATTTTTATGCATATTGTTGTTACTGGTATGAATTATTCATTGTTGTTGATTATCTAGTGTTTATTGTTTATTGTGTACTGGATTTTTTTTTGTGAAGAACATATTCAATTTTAAATTGTGAGGTTCTTTTTTAGAAAAAAATTTAGTCTATTAACTGGATATGAAAATCGTTATAGTTCTCTACGTAGTTTTATAAACAGTTAAGAGTTAAGCAAAGATGGATAGTGGCTAGCAGTGGAATCCAAGATGAGCGATTCGTCTTATTTGGGACTCGCCAGCTTGATGTACCTGGATCACAGAGTTGATGTTCACTCCGAGACTTGAACTCAGTACCGTTCGCTATAAGGACTCAGTAGCTAAGTGGACAACGTGATGGCGTTTGAAGCGAATGGTACTGGATTCGAGTCCCAGAGTGAACATCAATTCTGGGATGCAGGTATATCCAGCTGATGAGTCCATAATAGTACGAAACTGGCATCCTGGATTCCACTTCTAGCCACTATCCAACATTACTTAGAAAGCTTGTGACTTAAAGCTATATCGAGGCAATCTACACAGTATGCACATATGCTAACATGAGACTGATCAATCGCAATCCTAAATAACAATGGGAAGATATAAGTAAAACAACACCAAGCAAAGTTAAGAGTTAAGTTCATTTACTGAGATCTATAACTAGGAATTAATTTGATCGATTCATTTCATGAATTATTTTTAATTCAATCTATGAAAAGAGTTAAGCCGTTTGACTGATGACTTGTTTATCTTAAGTTCACTAACAAATTTTCACGTTGTGTTTATCATAGTATCACTTGATAAGAGTAATGTGAACATTTCCATGCTACTATTCGAATATAATTTAGAAACACAGAGTATTGGACTACATATCTTTAAAACGACACACATATTGACATATTTCTACAGTTGTCCAAGAGCAAGCGTACAAGTTAGGTTTTAGAGTATATAAGCTGATAAATACATAATATTATGAGTTAAACAGTTAGATGGCATATTATCTGTGTTTTCACAGTTCAGTCTGATGTTAAGGCTTCATGTGAGTCTATGATAAAACCAAAATAAACCATTAAATAAGTGCACACTGTAAACGATTGTTGATCTGAATAACCCTGAACATCAAAAATCGGTAAATTAATTAATTAGACGGCATTAAAATGCATAGGTACCCAATGACCATACTTATCTCACTGTACCAAATATATTGCTCATCTGGACATTTAAACGTATACGTATTCTCGCCCTTTACTACTCTTAATTGTATCTATCATGTTACACGTAAATCTCTAGGCACATAGACTGAAAAATAGAAAAAAAGGAGTTAGTCTCCTCATCAATAAGAGCATTTTACAATAGTGTAATCGTTCATCATTTACTTGAAGGTGAACATGATTTTAATGTTTTAAAATCTTTCAACGTAATGGATAGACAATAGATGTTGGACATTTACTTTAAATGGAATACGTATTCATAAAGACACAGTCGTCAACTTTATTTTTGTTACTGTGATGTCAGTTGTAAACATCTATTACGTAACATATCTCCCATGAAATTAATTATAATTCCTTACTTCTCATTTTGATCGGTACTTAAATAGTTAAGTTTATTTTCTTATTTAATTATAATATTAATATTTTATTCCTTCTTTAGTGATTCTATTCTATCCTCTAAAATATTCATAATTTAACATATAAATAGACAAACATTTGAGAAGATTTTAAAATCCCTCCACAATTATTACCCTTTTGTCAATTTTAGATATTAAACCTAGTTTCATTCAATATTCTTTCATTTAGTTTTTTTTTTCATATGAAGTATGTATATTGTGTTAATTGCCGAATATTTAATTATTTCAGTGTTGTAAGCAACTAAAACCAATCTATGAATGTACATATTATTCTGTCATATTCGTTATTTTTGTTTTAACCAAAATATTTATGGAAGATATATCGTTTATTATTTGTTATTTCTTATGAAAACTATTTTACCTATCTCTATTTTAATGTTAATATTCCAAATATTTCATTGTTTGAATTATATTTATACTACAAGGAGGCATTAAATAGATAGATATGCGTTGAGATACTGCCTGAGTGCACAGACCGAAACAGTTGGTTTTCTTAAGTGGCCACATCCGCAGCCTTGGACCTAAAAGTCTGTTCCATAAGGCAGTGTAACAACATAAGGAGATGCCGTTCCATGGTAGCCGGTCACAAAAAATTGGTTCATATGCCATTTTTTCTCTCAGGGTACTGGAGACCATGTGCACCATTGGTTTGGAATCATGCTTTTCCAACTCCCTTAGGTAAATCCACCAACCTGGTTACAGCGCGGGATATTCGCTTTTTATCTTCTCAGTTTCGTCAATAACACCCTCGCTATGAGAAGGCAGTGAGTTATACTTCCCTGGCAGTTGCTGTGTACGCGTGGCCATGTGAGAGTATCTGAGGAGGGAGGGCTGACTCTCCCCATTCTCTGCCGTACCAGGGCATTTGAGGGTTAAATTCTGGTTCAGACCCTTTTTCATTATGTTGATAGATATTTGAAATTTAAGGGGCATTAATTACAAATGATAATAAAATTAGTAAATTCAAGTATTCTGAAACCTTTCTGTTTGTAAATATTAACAGTTATTAATGAACTATTTATGGTTGTAACTGGGACCTAATAGATATCATGTTTCTTTTATGATGATGAAAGTCATAAATATATTCAATTATATTAAATGATCATCCGATGATAATCAGTGCTTTAGTGTCAGTTTCATATTGCTCACCGAATTCTATCAAGCATAATGAAACGGGTTTATTAGATTGAAAGATTTCACTGTGTGACAAACATTATTTGATACTGTATATATAGTAGCGATTGGTTATTTAGTAGTCATCGCCAAGTTGTACCAAAAACCTCTCGTTAAATGACATTCCTATGTTATCCATGCTCGTATTAACCGATATTGAACAGAGATGTGAACACTTCTTTATTTTATTCTGTTAATAATTTCTTCACATAAATATTAATTTGGAGCCAACTAAATCACGTTTAAATAGTGAAGGGATTTAATTGATTTAAATGGTTAGAAAATATAAATAGTTCAAATTTTGGACATATAATTCCCATTTAAACATTGAAAATACGAAATTCAATAAAGGAATCCTTTTTCAATGAATTCATTAACAAGTTGTACAATCGTATGTATATAGAATGCAAAGTATTACATTTACGATGACATAGGAACAAAGAATAAACATAGTGACGTAATATTGGGATTATAGTAGTAAATTAGTGTAAATAATAATAAAAGATTGTATGTATAAAGAAATGTCGTTTAAAATTAATTAGTTAACAATCGGTCATAATGTTTTTAACACAATAACTGAGGATGTTGGAGAGGCTAAATACAATTCAATGTTATCACAAACGATTATCAATAAAATCATGGTATGATGACAAATAATTAGAGAGGCATATTTTCAAATGGGAAATCAATCAAATGAAAAAAAATAAGTGAATAACTAAATTATAATTTAAAGCCATAGTAATGACAACGATGAGACGTTACTTTATTGTAAACACAAATTTGGATCTTATCAACCTGAATATGATGTTTATTAAATATGAACTGTACAGTTATCAGATCAAATCTTCAGAATTACTAAGCTGTCTTTTTGGACAGTTTAGATTTTCTTTGGTTCAGCTGAGAATCATATATGACAATTGCATAGTTCAAATTACATCAAAATCAAGTGAACCTCATATATAGACAGAGTAATGTGGATAGATAGGATGCAGCTAGACGATCTAGACTTCACAAATGACCTGGCTCTTCTATTGCACATGCAGCAATAAATGCAGAAGACGACCAGTGTAGCAGCAGTCTCGGCAGCAGTAGATCTCAACATACACAAAGGAAAAGCAAGATTCCCCGACACAACACAACATGCAACAACCAAATCACATCTGACAGAAAAGCTCTGGAGGATGTAAAAGCCTTTACATATCTGGGCAGCACCATTGATGAACGCGGTGGATCTGTGGCAGATGTGAAGGTGAGGATCGGCAAAACAAGAGCAGCATATCTACAACTCAAGAACATCTGGAACCCAAAACAACTGTCAATAGGCTAACACCGAAGTCAGAATTTTCAATATGAATGTCAAGACATTTCCACTGTATGGAGTGGAAACACTGAGAACTACGAAAGTCATCATTCAGAAGATACAGGTGTTTATTCATAGTTGTCTACGTAAAATACTTCGAATCCGTCGTCCACACACTATCAGCAACAACCTTCTATGGGAGAAAACAAACCAGATTTCAGTGGAGGAAGAAATCTAGAAGAGACGCTGGGAGCGGATAGGACACATATTAAGTAAAATCACCCAACTGCGCCACATGGCAAGCTCTCACTTGGTATCCTGAAGGCCAAATGAGGAGATAAATACCATGGAACACATTACGCCAAGAAACGACGACAGATATGAGAAGAATGAACGAGAATTGGATAGACCTAGAAAAGAAGGCCCAGGACAGAATGGGTTTGAGAATGCTGGTTGGCGGCCTATGCTCGATTGGGAGTAACAGGCGTAAGTAAGTAAGTAGTGTGTTTAAAAATGTTTGAATTTCGTCGTTTATCAGAACGTGATCAAAGTGAAGTATGATATTTGTTTTGCATAAAAACTTTAACGTAGTTTCGTCTTACAAGTAGTTGTAGACTATTTTTGTACATAAGAGAGTTTGTAAAACTAATATATCGATCCATGTAGTCTGTTTATTTTTCGGGAAACAAAGCAACCTAAACTTTTAGTAGAACTGCATTAATAATGGTTTTTCTGAAGTTTTTTGAATAGTTCTTTATAAGATTAGTTCAGTTATTTTAAGATTATATTATTGCTTTAATCACAAGTGATTTATTAACTCATTAAAACACAAAATTAGTAAAATTAATCAAAGTCATACTCCTGGAATGCGTATTTGTTGATTGTGCTTTTTTATTTCTTCAATTCATAACTGAATGAATTCCTTTACTATTTATGTTTCTTGATATTATTAGAACAGAAATATACTTAGCTTTCATTTTCTCACAAAGATCGTTATCATCCATTCATAACTTGCTTATAAAGATTTTCTCTCCTGAATTATAGAAAAATCAATGTTAACACAAACACAAAGCAAAAGTAATTTTCATCAGAAGTTACTAAGATGACATCAACTATGCTCATTAATATAGTATCTTAGATTGGTCCTACTAACAAATT